TTTGCATTCGAGCCGTGACCGAACTGATCTGGATCTTAAGCTCGAGCTGCCTGAGCACAAAGTAGCTGCCCCAGAGCTAATCGACAAGGGGACATGCCAGGAGGACGCGCCGCGGAACGTCCCAAGGGACGCGCCAGGCGACGTGGCAACCGCGGGACGTGCCAAGGGGACACGCTACGGAACGTGCTTGAGGCAAGCCTTTCGCTCGAGACATCCCGCCAAAATCCTCATGCTAGACATCCGCCTGACATGAAAACAAGCGTTTCGCTCAACACATCCTCAACACATTCTCATGCTAGACATCCGCCTGGGCGAATTGGACACGTGAAAACAAGTTGTTCGCTCGAGACATCCTCAATCCATCTGCATGCGAGACGTCCGCCTGGGTGACCTGGGCACGTGAAAACAAGCGTTTCGCTCGAAACGTTTTCAACACCTCCTCATTCTAGACATCCGCCTGGGCGACCTGTACACGTGAAAGCAAATGTCTCGCTCGATACATCCTCAACACATCTTCATGTTTGACATCCGCCTGGGACCTGGACACGAGAAAACAAGCGTATCTCTCGAGACATCCTCAACACATACTCATGCTGGGCATCCGCCTAGGCAACCTGGACACGTGCAAACAAGCATCTCGATCGAGACTTCCTCAACACATCCTCATGCTAGACATCCGCCTGGGCGACGAGGACGCGTGAAACCAAGCGTCTCGCTCGAGACATCCTCAATCCTGGCGCTAGACCTCTGCCTGAGCAACCTGGAGGCGTGAAACCAAGCGTCTCGCTCGAGACATCCTCAAGACCTGGGCACGTGAAAACAAGCATTTCACTTGAGAGATCCTTTGAATTCAGGTCCCCAGGAGAGGACAATCTATAGAACACAAAACAAGCGTTTCGCTCGAGACATCCTCAACAAATTCTGAACACCAAGCGTTTCGCTCGAGACATCCTTAACTTTTGATTCGCCAGCCCACCTCGACTTCGATATTTATCGCAAAAGAAATTCGCCGGCCCACCTCAAGTCATACCCGGTGGTAAACCCACTATAAGTGAACCCTGGGCTTACGCCCTTTCCGGGAAACATTGAGTGGAAGTCGATTGGTGGAGAGGAAGCATGCTGCCAAGTAATTTCCAGATGTCTAGAAGATGCAAACCCAAGACAAGGGCACCCGGCCGTGAGGGACGCGAAGCGCAAGAAATGTACAAAACTCCTTCTGCCACGGATGTGGCTTTTTTGGGAGTGCTGCTTCTGCCGCAGGCCACGGCAGCGCCTCCAGAAGAGGAGAGCCACCTACCCCCCCGAAGGGGAGCGGATTGCGACCAGCACGTCACGCCACACAGGGTGGGAGGGCGGGACCGCGAGACGCGCGGCGCCGCCTCCCAGGCCTGCGCGCGTAGAGAGGAAACGATGAGATGGGGTGGCCGCGAAAACCACATTTCCCAAGTGCACAGCCTCCTAAGAAAAAACGCTTTCCGCTTTACACCGCCATATTTGTCAGCCTCAAGAGGCCGCAAGGGTCCCGGGGAAACCCAAGACAAGGGCACCCGGCCGGGAGGGACGCGAAGCGCAAGAAATGTACAAAACTCCTTCTGCCACGGATGTGGCTCTTTTGGGAGTGCTGCTTCTGCCGCAGGCCACGGCAGCGCCTCCAGAAGAGGAGAGCCACCTACCCCCACGAGGCACACGTCCGGGAGGATGGCGCGAAGCGTGGACCGACGGGGACGTCAGCGCAGGATGCCAGGCCGTCTCAATGTTTTCACTGCGCAGTACAAAGGGTTCCCGCGCCCAACTGGACCAAAGGTTTGTGTGAACCACGGCGTTGCGCACAGCTCCGTTGGCTCAGACCGAGCGGGCGGCACCTGGGCGTCACAACTCAAGATGGAGCCTGCACAACGCGCTGTCCGCAATGTGACCGGACCGGGCGCCAGGGCCAATTTTAGTGCACCGCGCCGTTCAGGATAGAATGGGCGGCACCTGAGCGTCACAGGGTTGCCACTGTGGACGGCGCACGCTGGTGCACCTGAAAGGGGCTCTGGTTGTTTGCGCGACCCCGAACAAGGCGCGAGCCAGCGCAACAGCTGATGGGGTCGCCCGCGGAAACAAAAATCCGCGCCTCGAGTAGAAACCAGATGAGGATTTTCGCTACCCGCCGGCTCCGCGCCATCCCGAAGGGAATGAGCGGCACCTGAGCGTCACAGGTTGCCGATGGCTGCGAGACGCGCAGGTACGAAACCTGAAAAGGATTCGGCAAGGCGCGAGACGGCACAACCTCGATGGGGCTGGCCGCCTGCCGACAAGCACCCGCGCGTAGGGAATGCAGAAGGATTTCCGCAACCCGCCCACTCCGCGCCATCCCGAAAGGAATGAGCGGCACCTGAGCGTCACAGGGTTGCTAATCGCCACGGCGGCGTGCTGGCGCGAATCCTGAGGAAAAAGCTGGCGTCAGCCGCGAAGAAGGTGCGGCTGTCGTCGGTTTGTTCGTCCGCCGAATGACATC